TTATATTTTTATAAACTTCCATCAAATAACCGTCAAGATTGCTTAACTTCTGCTGTGGATACCACACATGTGCTTTGTATTACCCATGTTACTGGCCTTCTTGCGGGACTCAGTGTCTTGAGGCATTGATCGTGTGTCTTATCTCCAATGGCTGTGAAACAGGAAGAACTATTGTCCCTTTGGCATAAATTGTTGAGAGCTTATGTCTGTCATTTGAGGGCAGGAGGAATGTTAGGGACTGTATCAGTCTTCAATGGATATAGAATTGCCTGTTGTGAAGGTATAGAATATTTGTTTTGGGAGAAAAATACCTTTGTACACATTTTCCAGGAGAAACAGTTGTGTGGTACTATAAGGAGATATTTTAGCTGCAGTATCTCAGTGTCTTAGCTGCCACAGGTGGAAGTCTGTGAGAGGCAGCTATGTATGGGTGCATGCCAGAGTGACTTGAGCTTATCATGAGCCAGGATTCTGGATAATGTGAATTTGCTTTTTTATTTAACTAGAAGACACATGTATTACAACTCATTGTTTCATTATAAGGATAGTTCCTTAAATTAGTGAATTTTTCTTCTTCCTCTTTATTTTTTACATGTCAAATGTGAATCTTTTAGTGCATTTGTACTTTTTGGAATATAATGAAGAATTTTAATGGAGAATGACTTTAAAAACATTTACAATAAATTATTTTTGCATCTGCATTTTTGTGCTCAGATTTGTCTCATGGGTGTTGTTTCTCCAGGGTCATGCTTTGGACTGGCATTTTCTTGCAGTAAATGGGGTCAAAAGTGATTTTTCATGTTCCCAAGGGCAGCTTCCTCTTCTTTATGAATAAGATGGAGCTGTTTGGACTGGAGTAGGCAGAATTCTTCTCTGTGTGTTCCATTCAGCACAGGAAGAGGTTTCAATAAGTATCTGCAAAATAATTGGAGGGTTTGAATTTCTGCTCTTTTTCAGAAGTCACCTAGATATGCATAGAAAGGAGACAGCCAGATCAGCAGAATCCCTTCTGTCTCTGCTGCCACCAAAAATTCTAGCCATGTGTCCAATTATTTTTTGCTTTTCAATTTAATTTTTTTCTCTCTATATATTTTTAAAGTGATATGTTTTATCGAGGTTCTCCGTGGAGAAAATAATGAGAAAAGAAGCTGTTCATATAATCAAGGAGTCAGAATCTGAAAGAGGAAATAGCAGGGGAAGATACCCAGGTTCCATATCCAGATTTGAAAAATAAAGACAAAATGTAAGTCATGGGTGCTCAGAGAAATGCGTGGTCAGTGTAATTCAGTTGGAGAAGGTTTTGCATAGGAAGAAGGAAGTTCAAGCTGAACCCTGAAGCACTGGTGGGATTTGAATAATTGCCCTCTTTTGCACATGTCTGTATCTTCTTAGGATGCAGTTCACATTCTCTCCTTTTCCTTTTATATGTGGATTCTTGATATAAACTCCTGCCCTATTCAGAGTATGATCCATGAAAAGAAAAATGGGAACAATATCTCAAAGGCTCTCATTCTCTCCCATTACTGTTTTATTGCTTTTTAATAAGGCAATTCACAATGTTGCTGGTAGTTTTATCCATAGACAGATTTTAATGTTTTCTTTATGATTAGAAATCATTGACTTTTAACATCGAAAGGGAACGCCCTCATCTTACACCTGGGAGACCAAGACCTGGAGAGCCAGGAGGACCAGCCCATCATCCCATCATTCCTTGTGGGCAAAGCCTAGTCCATTCACACACATGGTGACTGGCCACCAACCCTGGTGGGTGCCCCACAGTCATGTTCAGTGCTGGTTTTGGTTGACATCTGGGATCTATGAGGAGCACAAATGGTCGGAGAAAGATAAATCGAAAGGTGTGGCTATCTGGCTGTAGGAGACTCTATGATGACAACCTCCACACAGTGTTTCCCCAAGCACTTGCTAAAGTGCCCTCTAGAAAGTGGGAGAGATTCATTCAACAATTGGCAGAAGCAGAGCATCATCAGACCAAGTGGATGTTCTGCACTTAAGTGTCTAGGCTTAGAAAAGAACAGTCAGACACATGGAAAAACAGAACCTCCTTTTCTCTGAAGGGCCTCCTGGAGTCATAGAGACTTGTCTCTTCTGTTCTGCCTGTGCCCTTTCATCTCTGAGAAGATGCGAACTACCTGTCATCCTAAAATTGCTTGTCCTAAAAGTGTCAACCTTTGAACTTCTCAACAGATTTCCTGCCCTATCTTTACCCCTTTCCCATTTATGTCTTTTGTCCCAAATAAGTTTTTCAGAGTAAGAGATTATTTATAGAGGCTCATACGAATGTAAATGGAGACCACAGAGCCTGCCTGCTGTTGCTGGATATTGTACCTCTGAATTTTGGCCATGTACTCTTTGAAGCCCAGTGCAGGGGATGAGGGTTTTTCTGGTTATATTTATGACATGGGAGAATAAATGCTCCACCCCGGGGTCTCTATCAAGAACACAGATTGCTTAACTAAGGAGTTCATCCTCAACCCAATGAGATTGTATACAAATGTGTGTGTGTGTATTTTCCACCAATAGAGTATACAGCTTTCATCAGAAATATAGAAATCTCTGGAAAATAGGATCAGCATTACATACAGACGTAGCAGGGTTTTTTCAACATTAACTTTAATTAGAAATAATTGAGATATTCTAGTTACAATCCCTAGCTCTCCTCACCAAAATAAATTAATGGGGAGAAATATAAAGCTTAAAAAAACATGGTTAAATATTTATAAAAACCTGTATTGTACCCTCCTGGTTCAACCCATAACCAACCCAGGCACAGGAACCAATGAGTCGAAGGACATGAAGTGTACTAAACTCATATTTCCTTAAATTTTATTTTTAAGTTATTTTTTTATTATTTCTGATTGACAAATAACATTGCATACATCATTGTGGGTATTTCAAAACACATCAAAGTGGTTCTCTAGCACATAATAATTTCCTTTTACAATCCTTCTAATTTCACTATAAGAACAACTTTTTCTTTTTTTTTTTTTGGCTAGGAATTAATGTGGTCCTGATGGGAGACAAATACTGTTTGGGACTGGTAATGCTTTCACAGGATAAGGCTCAAACACATATAGGTTACCATTTTGTACTAAGAATATATCAACCAACCAACATCCATAGTGGTTTCATATCCATGTAAAAAATCCCAGCAAAAACCCATCAGTTTGGTGTTTTTGCCTTGCTGGAAAGTCCCCGTGTGGCCCTGGATAACCAGATGTATCAACGTGCTCTTCTCCATACATCATAAAAGATTTCTGTTTCTCTTTACTCTTTGATATGATTTCTATTTAGGGTTTATGATAGAGGTTCTGCTTACTATATTAAATGTAAATCCTCCCATGTGAGTGAAAAACCTGAGCATCTGGGTAACAGACTCAAGGTCACAGAACAGGAAGAGAAAGAACCGGTTTTGAACCACTGGTTGTCTGTCTTGGGTCCATACTCTTCCCCCAGCCACGTTACACCTTGCACAGTGTTCTCTACTACCATGAACACGCCCTTTCAAACCTGAGTGAACTCCAGCCAGAGATACAAGTTAGGGTTACCTGGGAAAGAATTTTGCTAAAAGTAGGAGACTAGCAGAAGCTAAGATGTCAGGATGTGGTTGACCCTTAGCTGCAGACCATCAGCTGGCTAAAAGCCCAGCAAGCCTGCATTGATCATCTAGCCTCAAACCACTGGATTTCTCTTCACTGGGCACTTGCCATGTTTTAAATAGCAAAGTTGAGCTTGAGTTAGCTTTGAGAACAAAATAATAATGAAACATATAATGTATCTACTGCTTGTTTCAACAAACCATTTACTATTTTAACTTCTCTAAAATTAGGACAATGGCCATGAGTAAAACAAAGCAGCAAGTGGAGGACACAGGTGTGAATATAGAAATAGCCTAATTTGCTAATTTTCTTGGTCTCACTCATCTCATTTGTGGTTTAATATTTTCATATCATTTTATTGGTACTACTCTTATGAGTTATATCAATAACCAAACATATTCCTGTTAAGTTAATCTCAAATATGATCATTTAGGGCAGAGGTCTGCAATTTTTTTTTTTTCAATCTATAAAGGGACAAAACATTAGTATTTTTGACTTTTCAGGGCCTGTGGTCTATGTCACAACTACTCAAATCTCCTCCATGGTTGAGCAACTGTAGACAATGCAAAGAAATAAGTGTGGCTGTGTCTCAATAAAACATTATTTACAAAAATAGGTGATGGGCCGGATTCGGTTAGTGGGCCACAGTGTGATGAACCTGATTTAGGGATAGACATAATTCTAGAAATACTAAAAAAAGGAGAAGAGAGACAACAAATAATCGAAGCCAAAGGAGACATGCTCATCAGAGAAGGGGTGGATGTGAGTTTTGTTTCCCATGTAGACTTCTCATTCCTATTTTATACATGACATGCTATTTAATAGAGATATTGACTACACAGAAGAGGCTCTTCTGTACAGTATATTGGAGGAGTACTGAGTTGGAAGCCAGGAAATCATGCTCTTAGCTAAAGTTGTGCCACTAACTTAATATACCAATGGGCAAATTATTCTCTCTGAGTCCAAAAAAAGATGAGGGAATTAAAGGATCTCCAAAGGTCTTTCTGCAGTATCACTTTTTGAGACTGATTGTCTTATTAAGGTTTACGGGGTGGGGGGGAGGGGGACTGAGATGTAGCTCAGTGGTAGCTTGCTTGCCTAGTATGTAGTTTCAATCCCTAGCTCTCCCCACCAAAATAAATTAATGGGGAGAAATATAAAGCTTAAAAAAAAAAAACATGGTTAAAGATTTATAAAAACCTGTACTGTACCCTCCTGGTTCAACCCATAACCAACCCAGGCAAGGAACCAATGAGTCGAAGGACATTGTATCAAGGACATTCCTCAGAGGAGTATCTCAGGCTGTCATTGGGAGTAGGACTGAGTCACTGCAATGAGTGACTTCCCCCTCGGGTCACTTGATATAATGAGAAAACTTCCTTGTACCTTCAGATAACAATCATGATGATATTTTGTAAGAATCCAAGAACATTTCGTGGTAAACAGAGCTGCAGGGGAACCACAAATCTCTTTCCACCACACAGTACTTCCAGTTCTTTTTAGAACCAAGGATGATCACTCCTTTCTCAAATAGTGGTGTTCAGGATGACTGGTTGACTCTCAGATGTTGAATGTTGAGCAGGATCTTAGAGGCCTTTGTCTTTAGAAAACTTTGCACAGAAGGGCTTCCTACCTGAGGCTTGCTTCAAGCAGAGACGCCCACTTTCCACTTTTACCTGCTGGTGCTAAACTAACACTAGTCCAGCTTCTTCATTGTAAAAGGGAAAACTGTGTCTCAAAAGGGGAGGGAAGTACGTGTGGCTGTTTTAGGGAGGGAGAGGAGATTTTGCTTGGCATGAGAAGCTCATATTCATCTTCTGGGGAAGGGGGGTGCCTAGGAGTGGAGGGCACACGGAGAAGTGAATACTCAGTCTCTGTTCCTCCCAAAGACTCTTTGGGTCTCTCAGCCTTGCAGGAAACATTCTCATAGTACACCTCAGCAGAGGTCCCTGAAGGCCTTCTTCCTTGGTCCTTGTGATGATGGATAAGGACATAGCAGAGCTCCTCCGTGTGGGTCTGATTAGCACGGTCCTGCTGGCCAAAGGAGAGTCATCATCAAGATTTGGCCTCATGCTATTCCCTTCACACTTTAGTCTCCACACAGGCCTGATCCTGGGTAAAGTCTCTCTTCTACTACCATTTCCTTTCCATCTCTTGGCCATTTTTCCTAAAAATGGCCTCCATTCCAACCTCTAGACAAGATAGCCCGAGCATTCATATTGCCCAGTGTACACAGACTACCCACGTGTATTCTCTGTACCCCATGTTCCAGAATGACCCTTGAACACCTTGTATAATTCCCTAAGTCTTGGGCCCTGGGCAGCCCCTTCTCATAAAAGGCAATGATCTGATGATATCTTAATGTAATTGGGTTCTGATATAATCACTTATAGAGATCACTGCATCTTAAAAAAAGAGAAAGAATTCAAGGAAAGGCCTTACTTATGGTGGGGTTGCAGAAGATAAAAGCAAAGGGAGCCAAGTACAGGGAGAGAGCATGCATTTTGGAGTGATCTTTGGTTCCTGGCTCTGCCATCTTTCTGCTGTCTAACCTTGGGAAGTATCACTTAATCTATTTCCTCATATGTTAAATGATGGAGAAACAATGGTACCATCTTATGAGGTTGTTGTGACAGCTACCTGAGATGATGCCTCTAAAGCACTCAGTACATTGCTTGTCATAAATCAAATGCTCAGTAAATATTAGTTCCTTAAACTAAATTGTGCAACAGAGGGGCTGCTACTTCTGCCACCAGGCCCTGCATATGGCCCTGGGTTCACACTCCTGGCATCTAAAAAGTTCTTCTTCCATGTTAGGGTCAGAAGGGGTCTTATTACCTGGATAGGAGTAGGTGTCATTCCTTCATCTAGAGAAAGAAAATAAAACTCAATGAATTTCACATCTCAAGGTGATTTAAGAGGAGTGGGAACTGGAATATCAGCAACCAGAGAACCAAGGGGCAGCTGAGGTGCCCTTATTGGGCTCTTATGATCTGCCGAAGATCCCCGGGGAGTCACAGAGCTATCTGAACAAGAAACAGCCCAAGCTTGCTCAAGCTGAGAGATCAAGTGGAAGGAGACACATTTGGTGAAACGGGAAATCACACTCCCCTTGCTTTCCTCCCTCTGTTCTCCTTACTTAACAAAATCCTTCGTATACCTATTCTGTTAGAAGGAACATGGGGGACAAGCATCAGAAACAGTCCTGTCCCCTAGAGACTCACAGGCTAGCCTAGGAGCACACAGACTGGAGAGACCCAGAATGCAATGAGGAGGGGATTGTTTGTCCTGCGGGCAGCAGGAGATGGTGCTCCTTGGGGGCGGTGGTCAAGAAAAGTCTTACAGCAGGGAAACTCTTAAGGGGAGCATTCCCATTCCTGAAGCTGCAGGGAATGAGGACACAAGTAAGACAGTTTTTCAAAAGCCAGTTGTTTGTCACCAACTGGCTCTGACCACTCAGCAAAAAGGCAAATGAACACATCTGCCACACTCCCCAACCCCCACTCCCCAAAATGGCAAAAAGGGCCAGCTTGTAAATAAACAGGTGCCCTCCACGCAGCCTGCACAGGAGGCAGGTGTGACATGCAGCTTGCCATGCGGTGCACAGATTTACATTCCTCAGGGTCTCACATCCCCATGTGCTTCTACAGCTATCCAGAACCCCTCCTGATGATCATTAAAGAACAGGGTCATGACTGTAAACATCAGGTGTCTTATTTATATCATATTTTACTCTGATGAAGATTAGAATTTCTTGGGACCCACCATTCCTGGGGTAAAATGGCTGGGCTGGGAGGGTAAGCTTATTCACTTAAACACCTTGCAAAGCTGGATTTAAGGATTTGGTGTGTGAATAAACTACATTCCCCTCTGCCCAGGAAAGCAAAGGCATCTTAAATATAATGCTGTTCACTGCCTGTTCCTTCTCAAATTCTTCTCTCTCCTTAACTTCACTGATCTGTCCCTGGAGTCCAGTGCACCAGTCACCTGAGTGGGCTTTTGGCAGCTGCTCTTGTCTTTCCCTGCCAAAACTATTATCCACACAGAAGGAGGATGATTGCTGTTATGCAGATCCCATCATCCCTGTCCCTTTGCCCCTTGTGTAGCTGCTGATTCTCCTGTGCTCTCATGACAAGGATCTAAATCTTTTAACTGCCAATCCCTGTGCTTTTTCGCAGCTCCTTATAAATGTCTTCTGTCTCCACCTTTTACATTTATTGTCTGCAGTTCATTCCTTCAGCCTCCAGACCACAGACTCTAAGGACTTATGGAGATGAATAAGCCTATCTTCTCTTCAGTGAGCTCACAATCCAGTAGGGACAAAAGACGGATGATTGGATACGTTGAGGTAACATATGTATATATTATACTAGAAATATGCCCACAGGGCTTTTAAGGCATAGAGAAGAGACAGTTTGGAAACATGCCTATCAAAATTGAAAATGATGGGAAGGCAATGACTTACTTTTCTTTGGGGAATCTTGCCTTGCTTTAAAAACACATAATTTTTTCCTGCAAAAACAAAACAGAGAAAAGTAAATTGGTTTTTTTGATATTCAGAAGCTCTCCAAAGAAATTACAATAACCTATGCAATTTAATTCTAAATCTTTAAGTTGTTAAATCTATATGACTTTTATGATGACTTTTCAGCTTCTAGGAATCAGAGGATAAGAAAGAGAAAATGAAAGATGAGACCAGATAGACATATATCTCCCTGCTCCCTTTTTCTCTTTGTCCCCTTTCTTCCCTTTTCTAAACCTGATATGGAATTTACGTATAGGGGAACTATGGTTGTTTGGAGGTTTATTTCTAATACAATAATAGTTTATTTTATATCATGTGAGTGGGGGAGCCAGGATAATTGCCATTCCCAGTCCTAATCTATGATCCCCTAAACATTTTCCATTAGAACACACTGTAGAGAAGGTCTCCTGGAAAAATGGAATATAAATGTAGTGGACATCCATTACCATCTCCGGAGACAAGGACGCATTGCTCTGAGGAGGATCACCATATTGCCCTGGTTTGCTCAGTGGTTAATGTCATTACCAATCACTTAGCAGTTATTAACTATGTTTAGCATATTCATCATTTCCAAAGGTGTCCCAGTTTGGATAGTAAATTATATTAGTAAACTGTCTGTAAATTATCTGTGCAAGGAATAGAAAGGTGTGCTTCTACACATGGAGACCCTGGAATTTTCAGCGTGAAAAAAAGTCTTCATATTAGTAGCCAGTTTCGCTCTCGCTTCTGAGGCTTGCCAGTTTGAGGAGAGTGTACCACTCATGAGACAACTGTTCCTCTTTCTCACCCAATTCTGAGGGTTGCTTCCCAGATCGACTCTAAGTGACTGCGGTCTGGGATTGGTGCCAGGATTGCACTGTGGCCACGGACAGCCCAGAGTTCACAGGTAACTAAGAGCAAACACCACACTGAAACCACACTTAGGGAAATCACTCATAAGAGTGATTCTCCACTTACCACGGGAGGCAGAAACACTCTTCTGTGTCGTGGCAATCCCAGCATCTGAAATACCCAAGAGAAACTCACAGTCACAAGACTGGTTTATGCAGCTTTGTTAAGGTGGCTGCCTACCCTTCACCATTTCTGTAGAAAACCCTTTGTTTCCCCAGGCACGCCTTCACCTTAGGTGACTTGGACACATCCCTCTGAAGATGAAGATGACACCATTGGTTCCAAATCAGGGGAAAGAACATTTACTGTATTCCCAGCAAAGGAAAAAGTTTTCTCACACCCCATACTAGTGATTTGCTTTGTTCCTTTGTGATGAGGAACACATAGGATTATCTTCAGGAAATCAAGATACAGGCATGTGGACATCTTTCAAGGTCATTTCATTCCAGTGTGGGTTTGGCATATCTACACATAATTTCAGGGCACTCTGAATTTCTCCTTTTCGTACTACATTTTAATGGTCTGCTCCTCTGTCTATATTCTTTACTAGAATGTGAGCTTCACCAGATTGGTGAGTCATATTTGCTTCATTTATCATGATACACGTCACCAGCATGTGCCACATCTGACATAGACTAAATGTTTTCAGTAGATACTTGATAAGAATATGAATAAGAAATGAGTAGCCAAGAACAAAGTAATACTAGCTGGCACCTAAGATCATCTACCTCCTGACTCCAGTGGCATAGCTAGATAGCCAGACATGTCATTGACAGTAGATAAAATAAAAATCCCCTCTACACACAGATATTGGATTAAAATCTAAATATCATTCTGTGCATCTTTCTGAATTTGAGACATGGTCATCTCCCCCCCACCCATGGTTGGATGTGAAAGCCTTCTATAAATTATTACATTAGTTAAGAATATTTGGAAAACACTGTCCAAAAAAGGTCTCTCTGATGACCTTTCCCAGGGAATTTTGTCAGAGGGGACGGTGGAGGAGTGGCTAGCTGCACTGTAACAGTGGCTGTGGCCACCATGTTGGCTGAGGGTAGTGACAGCCTTCAGGGGCTATGTGTCATCAGAGCCTTTGAGGCTGAAGGGCACGGCCTCCAGCTCTTCCTCTTCTTTGGCCGCCTTTGGTTCCCTTTAAGCCATTTGTTTCCATCTCCTTCTTCTGTAACTAAAAGGCATCATAAGGAAACTACTGAGTCAAACCAATGCTAAGAAAAAAGTTCACAAAAGGGATATGAGAGTGAGATAAAAGGAGATGGTAGATTTCAAACTACGGGATCTATATATCTGAACTCCTTGAACCACAGTTTTTAAATATTAAAATGAGGAGATATATATACTGTTTAGCTAATGGGTTTGTAAGAATCAGATAAAGTTGACTATAGGAAAAAGCTACTTGTAAGTTCTTTCCTCTATTAAGCCTTTTCTGAAACGTATTCTTGCATTTCAATGAGAATGTTTTTGGATTAGGATGAGATCCAATAATTTCCATGTCTCAAATCAAATTACTATAACCTCACCTACAAGTCAGCGATTGTAGGTTCCTGTTTTTCCACAGAGACTTCCCTTGCTCCCAGGTCTACCCGATCTCTCCCTTGTTTTAATGGTCCTGGCCCTTCTTATTTATTTCATCATTTGGATTATATGCTTTAGCATATTTGAACTATATGATTCTCAGCTTGCACTGAAGAATGTGGTCTGTTGGCCAATCACTGGGTTGGCAGCCCCCACACAGCCTTGGCCCAGCAGTTGATTTTTAGTTCCACTCTTTCAAAAGATCCTTCTGAAACTATGAGAAAAATGCAAATAATTCCATAGGAAACAGGACAACAGATTTTACCATACTTTGGGATTCTTAGACATTGGGACGCAAATTCCACATTGTGGTGATTCTTTTCCTGGAGGAAATTCTTTAGAGTTGGGCACTCAGAAGGTTAGGAAGAATAGATGAGGCTCTGTTTAACAGCATCAGGGTAAACTCAAGGACTTCTTCATAAACCTTCCAAGAATTGTCATGGTGTGAGGAATGGGATCACTTCAGAAACAGAAAAAGTTTCAAATGGAAGTTCTAGATGGAACTTGGGCACAAAGGATTTGAGACAGGCAAACAAAGACACAATAGGATATAGGACCCCTTAGTTTATAACAGGGTAGGAGAGAGTCTGACACTGTCTTGTTGACTGTTGCTCACAGTTACTTCAGACTCCTAGCAAAGCAGCACAAGTCCCATCCAAGGTTTCCCCATTGTCTATTATCCTGTCTTCACATTAAGTACACTTATGCTGACGCAGGGTGTGTGTGTGTGTGTGTGTGTGTGTGTGTGTGTGCGTGCGATGGGTACTTGAGGGCTAGGACCTGTCAGGCTACCTTTTTCTTGAGCAGAAGCTGGGAGGAGTCTGGTACAGAGTCGGGTACACGGTTCTCTCACCTGGATGTTCTCTGCTTGGTGTTTTGGAGTCTGAGTTTCCAAGGCATCTCTTGAGTGTCCCGCTGCCACCTAAAACTCAATGTATCAGAAATGAGCTCAGCAATTCCTCTCCAGGATTTTCACTCTTTCTGTTTTCCCCACTTTGCTCACTTGTGCTGTTTGTGTAATCCTGGAATCGCTTCAGCTTTCCCCGCCCTTCTTGCAGTTGTTAACACTCCCTCCTAATGACACGCCACAGCTGTCTCTGACCTGATATTCTTTCCATTGCCTCAGAAAAGCCCCTAGACATGCACCTCTGGTCCTAAATCATTTGTTCCCAAATGTCCAGGAACCCTCATCACATTCCCTAAAGTGTCAGTGTACAGAGAGAGGCCTGGGCTCCTCAGCTGTCATTAACTGGTGGGGTTCCAGGGGCTGCACAAAAGCAGTGGGTTCCTGTAAATAACCATCTTTCACGGAAAGCAAGGAGGCAGACAGAGAACAGGGCTAAAAGGAGAGGAAAAGAACTAAATAAAGACAATGAATAGGTTCATTGTTTGGGTTGTATATCTGCAAAATCATGTTTTCATTTGCTGGAAGTTGAGAGTATGAAGAAAAAGAAACTAACAAACACTGCTTACTTTGTGCCAGTCATTTTATGCGCCATATTTCACTTAATCCCAGAATATAACTGCCATGAAGTTCATATTATCACACTATTACTTACCAATCGATGAAGAAAGTAAGGCCGAAATAGGCAATTTGTTTAAGGATCCACAACCAGTAACAGGGAGAGTCTGGGTTTCCCTGGGGCAGATTTTTCCTTCAGAAACCCAGAGCTCTTCTCCTGAAAGTATAGGTGCCCTTCTATCCCAGTTTTTGAAACAAATTTAATCAGGAAAGACAAGGTAAGGGGCTGACAGGGTGGGAACTGGGTGATGGGGTAAAGTAAAAACCTTAGTTCCCAGTCAATACAAGACTTTTGAATGTGTCAAGAAAAAAATTTTAAATCAGCATAAGAATGAGGATCCTAGGCCAACTGATCAACCATTTGAAAAAACATAAATCAGCATGAGAATGAGGATCCTAGGCCAACTGATCAACCATTTGAAAAAACATTATATCTGAAAGCATATGTTGAATATATAGAGCTAAACATAAAACAAAACCACACAAAGCATGTATGTGTGGATTGGTCTTATCTTAGAAGGGGGAAAGAATTAAAGCACAAATGCAAGAAACCTAAATACTTTCTACATTTAATTCAATCATCTTTAAAATATAACAAACATACAACTATAAAAGTTAGCATGGCCCAAGACACACAAACTGAAAAATATACATGTATGTATGTATATATATATATATATATATATATATATATATATATACACATACATACACACACACACACACACATATACATACATACATATATATTTGCAATATTTATGTAAGGACTAATTTCTTTAAAGTACAAATAACTTTTACCATCAATAACACAAAAGAAACCAAAATCCAAAACAAAAATAGGGAAAAGACATTATTGGCTCTTTCACATAAAGAAATCAAATGACTTCTAGAACTTAAAATAAATATAATGCATCTAATGTTATAACCATGATTAGAAGTTTGTCTCAAGAATTTTTTTACAATGTTTACATGTTAATGTAAACCCTCACACTGAAGTCCTGCAAAAATTACCCTTGTGACATCAATCTCTACTTTCTTGTTCACAACATATCTATATTTTGTTTCTATTTTCAAGACAGTTTTTTCTTTGTTTTCAACCATTCATCTAATGCTTATGAAGTGCCTGTTATGATCCAGGAACAGTGCTAGGACCCAGGAATTTAAGAAACAGTGAATAAACAATGAAAAATAATCCATACATTCAAAGATCTCACATCCACATTTAAAAACAGTGATGTATACTCTTTCAGAAGACTGTTAGAGCAGAAGACTGACAAAGGGCTCTGAATATCCAGGGAGGAGGAGTCTCAGACAATACTGATCCTCAAGAAGGAACATGAGACATTCCATACGAATTCCAAGCCTTCTTTTGGTAAGTGGTGTTTTGGGATACGCCCTTTTTCTGTACTCCACTTTCCAGTGGCATGATCTGAGACCTTGGACACCAAAAAATCCCATAAACAATACCATCCTGCAAGCTCCCTCTCCCTAGACCACGTCACTTTACACCCTAAAGATCCCCTTAGTTTGGGTGGTACTAATTTTTACATCATTTGCTTTGATGCGAATGAATGAAGACTGGTTCAAAAAATTTTACTTCTGATTACTGAATCATTTTATGTGTCAGACATTAAGTTAGCATTATGCACATGAGAGGCTTCCATAGTAGGTATCATTTAATTTTTTTCCATTTAAAATGAGGAAACTGAGGTCTAGAAAAGTTAAACCAAACACTCTACCTATGTACATGACCTCTGCTTACCTGTTTTAAATCCAGGAAGTCTGCAGTACATGAGGCTTCATGGTGGCAGGAAACTTGCTAATTGTTTTGAACTTAAAATAGTGACAGAAAGAGTAGGTGTCTTGGAGCTCCTTGTAGAGCATTGTGCTCAAGGGAGCATTCCCTTCCCAGGACCTCAGAAAACTGCTCCTTTCTTAGGTGGTGGCCTAGCACAGAGGCCTCTCTGGATGAAGTTGTTCCGCATTTCACAGCAGTTGCTCACTAGGATTCTGGGCCAAGTTGTATTTAAGGAACTTGGTAGGGTGTCTGACACATAGGAGGAACTGAATTCTTATCAGATTCCTTATTCAATTCCCTTCACCCCCAAGAACAGCCCTCTTTTTCTCATGTTGCCCTCACCCTCTCCCCTGCTCCCTTGTAGGGAGTCTGGACTCACCTGTTTTCCCTCTGTAGATGGTTCCCCATCCTCTCAGTCCTCTCAGCACCTTCTCAGCCAACCGTCCCTTTACCACTTCCTTCTCACCCCTTGCACTCTGACAGGGCAACTCCTGACTTAGAGAATGGGCTGCATGGCTCTGGCCACCTGTGCAGAGCAGAAAAGAGAAGGGTATCTGTCTAGGGGAGGAAGAGGCCGGGGGAGGAGTGTTAGAGGCACACACGCAGAACGTGCTGAAATGTCAAAGCCTTTGTGCACTGGACTATTAGCCAAAACCAGAATCTGCTGGTCAGTGCAAGCCCTGAGAACCTGGGGAACCCCCGGTCTGCAATTACAAGTGGGTTGTGAGGTTTTTTCCATTTCAGATACCTATTAAATCATGTTGTCTTAGAAAAGTCAGGGGGGGAAATTTTGTTTTAAAAGAGAAAAGGTTAAACCAAAGGGTTAAACCACAGGCTAGTAGAAAATATATAAAGGATTCTCAGAACTCACTCATGAGAAAACAAACGTCCAGTAACAAAAATGGCAAACTATTTGAACAGACTCTTCACCAAAGACACTGTATGGATAGCAAATAAATGCCTGAAAAGATGCTCACCATCACAGTCATTAGGATGATGTAGCTCAAACCCAAAAGCAATACCTTTGCACACTCTTTAGAAGGGCTGATGTTGAAAAATGAAAACAGAACCTGACAATACTGAGTGCCGACAAGGGATGGAGTACAAGTGAGAGTGTTACACATTGCTCTTGGCAATCTGAAATGGTACAGCCTCTTTGTAAACCAAATGGCAGTTACGTGTAAAGTTAGACTTCTCATGCAATGCAGTAATCCTGCTTATCTGAGTTTCACAAAAACTCCCTCATCAGAAAATTAAATGAAATAGCAAAGAAAGTAAATTCTTAACAAAGTTTATGTTACCCAAGTGAAACCTACATCCTCTAAGAACCTGTATGTAAAGTTGTATATCTGCCCCCCAAATTGGAAATAGCCCAAATAATCTTCAACTGGTGAATGGCTGAACAAACTATGGAGTGGAATACCAATTGGTGCAACAACTTGATGAATCTCAAATGCATTATTTGAAAAAACCAGACATAAAACTGACATTTTGTGACATTCAGGACAAGACAAAACCAAAGTCTGCCAGAAGCAAGGGATAGGGAAGAAAGTGATTTTCAAAGATATGGAGGGAATTTCTGCTCTTTTCTTTATCCTGATAGTAGTGGTGGTGGTATGTCTCTTTGCATTCCTTGTCACAGAACTGTAGATTATAAAGGGTATATTAGTTTTATATATATCTCAAGAGGAAGAAAAGAAAGAAATTTGGGGATAGGAATCATGGATTTATTTTGCATATTCTTTTATTTTTTATTTGTTCTTTTTTAGATCTACATGACCGTAGAGTGTATTTTGACATATTATACATGCATGAGTAGTGTAACTTATTCTAATTAGGATCCATTCTTGTGGTGTATATGTTGTGGAGTTACACTGATCATGTATTCATACATGAACATAGGAAAGTTATGTCTGATTCATTCTACTGTCTTTCCTATTCTATGCCCCCTCCCTACTCTTCATTTCCCTTTGTCTAATTCAATGAACTTCTATCCTCTTCTTGTGGGTTATCATCAGAGAGAACATTCAGCCTTTGGATTTTGATGATTAGCTTATTTCACTTAGTATGATAGTCTCCAGTTCCATCCATTTACGAGCAAATGCTATAATTTCATTCTTCTTTAAAGATGAGTAATATTGCATTGTGTATATATACCATGTTTTCTTTATCCATTCATCTGTTGAAGGGCACCTAGTTCAGTTCCATAGTTCAGCTATTGTAAATTGATCTACTATAAACATTGACGTGACATAACACATAACATCACTGGTATGTGGAGTGGAATAACTGGGTCAAATGGTGGTTCCATTCAAAGTTTTCTGAGGAATCTCCATACTGCTTTCCATAGTGGTTGCACATATATGCAGTCCCACCAGCAATGTGTGAGTGTGAGAGTCAAGCCAAAGTCACTCCATTTTGTTTATTAACTCCATTTTATAAAACAACCATTCCAAGTAGAAGGGTCATGACCAGGGCAAGATGTTCTTTTCCTTTTGCTATAGAAACCTTTAAGAACACAGAACTACCTAATGGAGCATTGTTTCTGTAACTAGGGTAATGGGGCTATGTTTCTGTAACTGGGGTGTCTGGGCTAGTTGTGATTGGCTAAGCGTCCTGCTGCCTGACTGCACTCTCTCACTACTGCAACTTGGCTTGCTTGCATTGGCTAGACCCCCAAACGTCCCTTTTGTGATTTTCAAGCTTATAAGGAGCATCCTTGCAATTGTTCAGGGCTGATCAGGGAAACAGGTTTATGTTCTGATCAGTCGCGACCAGTGTGCTTCAATAAAGGCTTGATTCAATTATACATGAGTGGTCTGGAAGTCAATTTATGAAACCCCAGGATGAAGCTTTAACTATAACATGAGTATACCTTTTTCCCCACATGTATTGTTCTTGGCATTTTTGCATTATTCTTGTATGTGACAGCTCTTTGTAGTGTGGTCACTCATTAGTTCATTCCTTCAACAATTATATATTGAATATTTACTATTTGCTGGGCACTGTGGATTCAATGGTAAGCAAAGCAGATGCCTGCCTGCCCTTATGGAGGAAATAAAACAAAGGGCAAAATACTTTTTTATTCGATCTTGGATAATACAGAGTTATACGTATAGGCAGAAACGGGCAGGGGAGAGGCTTGGAAGAAACAATTTGACAGAAACTAGGGAACTAGTTGAGCAACATCGGATCCATCCAGAGCATTCTTATCCAGCTGCTCTCCAGACTGAGTCTAGCTCTGGGAGGAATTTCCAGGTAAATGGATAGAGAGGCAGACAATCCCTACCTAGGAGAACAAAGTACTCCAGAGGCAGGTCAGCCTGTGAAGGAAAGGAGGTAATGCCAATCCAGAAGTCCTGATGCATGAAGGAAACTATATTATTATCTGCAATGTTTTAGTCTTATATGCATAAAGACAAATTTAAAATAAGTCTAATTTTCACTATTGAAAATAAGGGAAGAGATTGTCCTTTGTCTTAGAGTATTTACTTTACAAAACTTGTTTTTTTTTTTGCTCTGTCTTTGAAATGCATGCACTTTTATATTTTTTTTAAGGCAAAATATGCAACCCAGCAAATTTTCTCTAAGAACCTAGGGGGTTTCTCTTGGAAAAGTAACTATGGAGGAAGACAGTGACCCTATCTTCCAGTTTCCCTGGGAGGCCAGGAGCTTAACTTCAGTTGAAACCCAGCTCCAAATTGCAAATCTACCTGCAATTAAAGATAAATGAGAACTATATTTTTCTTTTAAAGGTAATTAGTGAACACATTAACCAAAGAGTGGAGGATGAACCACATGGAACAAATGTCCTCTTATATGAAAACTAATCCTTTTTTATGTTTTGAGAATGTATGCAATAGATTGTTTGCCTGGCTATATAAAAGGACAAAATTACTCTTTTAGGGATTGTGATATGCATTGCATTTATTCCAATTTAATATCTATAAAAATTAAGGGTTTTCTTTCTCTTCTACCTCTGTGGAGAGGTTTAAAGGAGAGACAGGAGAATTTGGTTTAAATTATCTCTAATAGTCATTTTATTAAATTTTTTATTAATCCCTCAGATAATTAACTCTAGGAAAAATGTTATGGTAGAAAATTTTCTTATTTTGTGAACATCTTAAAAATCACAAAATCCCTCTTCCTAGTAAATTAGATAGTTAAATAAGAAAATATATAACAAAGTTTACTTTTAAAATTAGGGTGTTCATTGTATATAGGTTTAAGAAATCTAGGACTACCTTAATCTGTTTCTTCCATTCTTCACTTCTAAAGCCATTTCCTTCCCCAGGCTGGATAATTGCAATAAATATTAAAGGATATCTTCTAAGTTACCTAAATCATCTATGTGTAGAAAATTTGGGATAGCAACCATGGCCTACCATTTTGTGTGTGGACAAAATGTAGCGTGTGTGTGTGTGTAATAATCTAACTTTTACTTACTTTGTGCTGAAGAAGAGGAGCTGATTAGGAGTCCTGATTGATGTCTGAAAACCACAGCTACTCATTGCTAATAGTCCTCATTAAAGAATGTTTTTAAAAAGGTGATAACTGTTTGTCCCAGTAATTCTGGTTGGGCTTTTGCATTTTGCTCCAATGGCTGGTCAAGAACAATGAGTAACCTAGAGGGTTATTTTGATTGGAAAGGCCATTGTCTGAAAGCAAAGTGGGAGTTTGTTCAGTTCACTGAAACTCTCTTATAGATGTGACTGGAAGGAGGGTAGCACAGTACTTCTTTGTTAATGAGTGACCCTTGAGAATAATGTTTCTTCTTTTACAAAGTTTCTCATTAAAAAAAAAAAGAGTAACATAGAATATAAAAGATAAATAACTACAGGAAAAAAATACAAAACAGGAGGGCAGGCACTGTAAAAGTTCAAGAACTCAGCTAAATTTTTAAAAATCAAAGTGAAAGGCCCTTTTATCAAAATATCATTAAAAAACAAGCAATGTTATGGACATTGTAAACAAATTAAGTGGGTTACCTCTGACAGTCAAATGGAAGCAAGCTCTAAGCGCCCTCTTCAGGCCAAAATCTGTGCATGACATTCTTTCAGATAGAAGTGAAGTCCTGGGCACAGAGCCCCCATTCCTGCACACCAGGCGGGTGCACACCAGCACACATGGTCCAGGGTTATTTCGTGTTTCAG